AACATTTTCAGAGGCATTTTCAAATTCTTTTAAATGATCAAACCTCATGCAGCAGAGAGATATGAATGAATACCTATTAATATTGATGATGACTCACTAAATACTCTACCATTAAACCCAAGTAGCCTTTGACTTCATCAAATCCACAAGATCTTCATTCTATCATAAAGTTCAATAAGATCTCCATCACTTTCACATATTCCAGAAGGTAATGCACAATCAAACATTGAGGAGGATCATCCACTTGGCACTAATCTTCCTATCATATCACCTTATGGTCTAGGGTAAAAATTAAGTTAAAATTATAACATCCACATTATTTGCAAGTATTAGGAAATTGTGATAATTATTTAATTTAATTCTTTGGCGAAGGTTCCATCCATGTCGAGTTGCCTCACAAGCTATAACAATGACTATTAAGCAACAATATTTTAAGTCATGGTTGACATGAGGTTCAATGACTGATGTTGAAAAAGAGACATTCTTTCAGCAGTTTAAAGTAAGTTTTCTTATATTTAGGCTAATGAATTATTTTTATTACTTACATTCATTGACACAATTATTATTATTTGTTTGTTTGTGTAAATCATTTGCAAAGAGAAAGGTCACCTGGAGACCTAAAGATGAGGGTAGGATTCGAAAGAATTTTCACTCAAAGATGGTAGAAGGACCAAAAAGAAGCCCTATTGGATGTTTGATGATGTGTGGAATGCTCTTTTGAACAAGTGAAACTCAACTGATTATCGTGCAAAGTGTGCACCAGCTCAGAAGAATCGAGCTTTTGAGACGGGTGGTAGTTTACACACAGGTGGTTCTATTAGTATGCATGAACACATCATTCATATGGTAAATATGCAATTATAACAAAAGTTTCTTTCTTTCATTTCTTCATGATATGTTATTAATTAATTTTTTTTGCAGGAAAAGGAGTTGGGTTGTCCTACACATATTGATGAGGTGTTCAAACAGACTCATATACAAAAGGTTAATGGTGAATTTGTTGATGAAAGGTTTAGAAAAACTCATGTGAGTTGTGAAGTTATTTAATATTACTCTATTACTCTCTTATATGTTATGATGGATATGTGTTGTATATAATGCATAATTTTTATTTGTATGTTAATAGGAAGAATTTCAGAGAAGATACTCTTAGGTTAGATTTGAGGCAGCATCATGTGCTGCTGAAACCGAGTCATCTCCATTAGATCCTATAGAGGAGGAGAGAATAAGGATTGAAAGTTGGGTTCTTGCTATAGGTGACAACAAAAAAGGTCGGATCTACAGTGTTGGAGAACTTGCCCATAATTTTAGGCTTGGAGATACCCTCTCATATTCAGGATCTATTGATTCTCGTGAGATTACGTAATTAAATGACACAAGTGCTTAGTTATAGGGAGGATAATGAAAGATTGAGCCGCCAATTACAAACACTTGTCAGTGTTGTCCTTCCTTTGCTTCCACCTGATGCCCGACAAGCATTTCAACAACAACAACCTTCCCAACAAGGATCACAACAACAACAAGAGCAATAACAATCACAAGAGCAGCAACACCAACAATAGTCACAACATCAACAACAATCAAGCTCCGCAAAACAACCTCAAAATGAACAAGGACATTACTCAAATTATCAAGACACTCAAACAATATTGTCATAATATTTATTACAGTACTTCTTTGGATTTATATGTTCGTATATATTTGAATGACTATTTGATGCATGCTAATATTAGGATTTGTGTTTGATATCTAAATATGCACTTAGTGCATATCAATATTATGGAATATTGTTGTTAAATTTGATATCTAAATACTTTGTGTGTAATATGCATGTAACAGTTAAAATTTAGTTAAATAAGTGGTGGTGAGGTGAAATTTTTTAAATTTACCTAATGATTTATCTACGGATTCTAGTTTGTAGATAAATTTGAACGTGGTAATTACCTACGGATTGTAATCCATGGGTAATTACCTACAGATTGTATCTGTAGGTAAATTACCAATGGACACAATCCGTAGGTAAATTACCTACGGACACAATTCGTAGGTAATTACCTACAGACACAATCTGTAAGTAATTACCTACGGATTATAATCTGTAGAAAATTACCCACGAACTACAATTCATAGGTAATTACCCATGAATTACAATTCATACATAATTATATACGAATATAATCCATAGGTAATTATCTACAGACGATATTACCTACGGACAATAATTTCATAGGTAAATTATCTACGATCATATTACCTACTGAAATTTTTCCCATAAGAAATTCGTAGGTAAAATGACATTATCTACGAATTTTTGCCATTATCTACGAATTTTTGTAATAGACAATACTATTGTTTTTTTTTAGTGAAATATAGTATATCATTTAAATACTAAAAACACTAAATGTATTTTTTTTAAATTATTATAAAGGACGATTTTTTAAAACATTACAAACTTAAGTAATTAAACTTGAAACTAAAATTTGTTCAAGAATAAATCATAACTCTAAGCCTAATTTTTATATCATCCTTAATTTTAAATAAATAATTAAATATATATATATATATATATATATATATATATATATAAAAGAATAGAATTTTCATACTTAATTTCATTATATTCATTAAAAAAAGGTGTTCGTCGTTAATATATTTATAAGATTTTCTTACATCTAAATTTTAGAAAATTTAGAATATGATCAAACATTAATAATTTCATAAAAATGGATACAAAATAAAAAGTAACATTTTTTTAACTTAAAATGCATGAATTTGTGCCTAATTGTGAGATGTATGGAAAATAAAATAATTATGGTATGATTATTTTGTATGTTATTTATAAATTTTAAAAAGTAGCAGTACGATTATTATGTTTATTGGTTTCAAAATTATTAGCTTAAAAATAAGTAAGATTAAACTAAAATAGAATCAAACTAAATTTAGTTTAATTTGTTTGGTGTGACCTAAAAAAATTTAAGCGGGTTATTTTGTAAGTTTATGAACACGTTTTATGAATTAATAATGATTTTAAATAAAAACAATATATTCTTATTTTATTAAAATGTGTTATAAATTAATTAAAAAAATATTTGTTCTAAAAGTAAAAAAAAAAACATTTTTCATTTTTACCTTAATTTTTAAAAATTAATGATTAAGATGAATCATTAAATTAATAAAATAAATAATGAAACTCTTAGAGTGAAAAAAATTATTTTAGACCATTGCATTTAACATAAATTAATTCTATTAATGTAACATAAATTTTTAAAATATATTATTTTTTATTTAAAAAATTATTTTTAAAAAAATATTCTATATAAATATTCTATATTTTTTTCAAAATCATTATATTAAATTTTTTTTGTTGACCTAAAAATTATGAACCATTTTAAATTATTGGAATTAAATACTAAAATGTCAATTAGTGTAATAATATGTAATTGTGAGATTAGGATGACGTATAATGTATAAATTTTAATTAAATGGTAATGTGTTGATAATGAATATGTAATTTGTGAAATTAACTTCGTTTACAATAATTAAGTTTGTGTAATAATTATGAAATTAATGGTAATGAAAGATTGTCATAAGATTATGTACACAATTGGGGAAATTTAACTTCACATGACTTCACAATTTATTCCTAGCTACACTCTTGAGTATTGCTTGTAGTCAAAGCACGTGTTGTATCCATAAAATGCAAAGGTCAACCATAATATTGATAGACATGTTAGTGATGATTTTGTGTCAAATGGGACCTAAAATATTAGGATAATTATGATCAATGTTATTGAGAATGTGTGCTAAAAGTTTAATTTCATATTTTCTTAAAATTGTTTTAATAAAAATATTTTAGAATGTGTTTAAACTAATACAATTAGTTTTTTAATTGCATAGGACACCTTGAATCTAAATTATAACTTACTTTATATTTTTTATTTGTTCCATTCAAATGTTTGAAATTGTTTATGATATAATTTTGTTTTATATGGACTATTTTTTATTTTAAATAATTAAAATAGTTTCATTTCTTTAAGTTTATTATAAAATATTTACTAATAATATCTAAAAATATGAATATCATATAATGTAGCTTTTGATTAGACTTTAGGAGTGAAATATGTCGTGTAGGTGTGAAAATAATTTAATTCTCGATTGGATAGATTTGTTAGGTTTCATGAATTCAATTAAATCAAATATATTTTAATCTGATTTATTTACATCATCAACTATATAAATCAAATAAATTTACAAATCAATCCATTTTATAAAATAATAATTATTTTTAGATAAAAATAAAATTTATATTATTTTATTAATATATATATATATATATATATATATTATAAATTAATTTAATAAGAGATTAATTTATTATAAAAAGTAAATATCATAATCCATTTTTAATAATCATTTATCTCAATATCTAATGATTAAGATTAATTATTATTTAAAAATAATAAATTATTACAAAATAAATAATGATAATGAAAAGTAAATTTTTAATTCTTATTTTAAAATTAAATATATGTATTTTCTTATAATTTATATATTAAATCATCATATTTTAAACAAAAACTAATTTCATTAATAAAATTTTAATTTTAAAAATATCTTTTATTTTTATATAATATTTTTTAATTAATTGATTCGATATATATATATATATATATATATATATATATATATAAAAGAAAATAATGACAAATTTAGTTTATTAATTTGTTGGTTTAACATTAAATTAAACTAAAAAATTTGATCTATTTTAAAATATAGATTATTAAAAAAATTTACTTGATTTATAGGATTAAATAAATATTATATTTTTTGTCGTATTATTCATAAAAAATAAAGGTATATTTTTAAAAATATATAAAAAATATATAAACAAGATCACCGTAAAGAAAAAAATATAAAATAATATTCATATATATATATATATTATTTTTAATTATTTTAAAATATATTTAATTATATAATTAATGATAAAATGGGTTCACTGATTCTATTTTTGCACAATTTGCCTTTAATATTAAAAAAATTAGACAAAACAAGTTATAAATCTCAATCAATTTTGTTAAATGATCAAAATGGATAAATTTGACAGATCAGTAAGCCAGTAAATAATTAAATAGATAAATGTTAAATGATATATTTTTTATATTAATTTAAAAAGCACACATTTAATATTAATTAATAATTTTGTTAGATACATTAAAAAATCATTATATTTGTATATTAAAATATCTTATTATAATTAATAATTTAAATTTAATTAGATATTATTTATAATTTAAATTATAATATTATAGTATATTAGTATATTTTATCATCATAATAAAAAGTAATATTTTTAATCATAATTTTTTATTTAATTTTAATATATAAATACTTTTTTAAAAACAATTTAACCCTGTTACACCGGATTGACATATTAAGTGAGATGGATCATGATAAAGAGTTAAAAAAATTTCAATCTATCCTATAAATGGTAAGACGAATCAAAAGGTAGACCCATTCAACTTAAACCATTTTATCATCTTAATTTTTTATTTTACATAATATCTATTAGTATCTATAACCATATTAATGACAATAACAATCATAATAAAAACCTTAAACATTCTATTTCATAAATAACCTTTACACTTTCTATTTTATAAATAAGATTTTAGACTAGTCAAATTATGTTCTAAACTAATTTTAACCACATGCACTTAGTCTATAATATATTCACCGTCACGTGTCATGTTTGAAAAACCAAATTCAAACCAAAAATACCATTATAAAGTAATACCCTAAACCCTAACCTTATCTAAATATATAATTATTTTAACTTTAGTTATATGACATTAAAGGTGTTAGAAACTACTTAAAATAAATGTTATAATTGTATTTTCTTGTATTTTTACAACATTTATTATTTGTAGTTTTATTATCCAATTATTTGTTTTTATTTGAATTGAAAAAGAACTAGTCACATTTTTCTAATCAAATTAATTAATTATTGTTGATTTTGAGTATTCATTGCCTTAATTAGTCAGTCATATGTAACATTAGGAAGAGATTATATAAATTATGCAACGAAGTGAAACTTTATTTTTTAAAATAACACCAAAAAAATACTTAAAATCACATATAGTTTATTTTTTCTTCTTGAAAAAACAAGTTTCAACATAGAGTAACAAAAGAATATAAATATTCAAAAAATGTATAATTTTTTAAAATAATTAAAGTAAGCAAGATATTAAAAATGCTTTTATTTTTTTCAACAATAAATTATTCACCTGCTTGAGAATTAGATTATTGAAATGTCATCTATTTTCCGTTATCTATTATAATTTTTTATTGAATATTATTATTCTGCTTTTTATAATCTTAAAATACAATTAATTTTATGTCTCTCTAAAAATTTGTTTTATAAATAACTAGGTTTCACATCTTAACTAATTATTTAAATATATAATATATATTCATTTAACAACTAAATGTATTAAGTTTAACTTAAATATAAAATAAGTATTTTTTTCGTCACGAAATTATTTTAATGAAGAGATTAATCTCATGTAACAATCCAACAAATTTTATACAAATTTTATGTTACATCAATTTTTCCCTTTAAGTATAAAATGAATAATTATTTATATATAAAGTAAATAAATTATATTTTCTAAGTTAATCTAAATATAAAGCAAATAAAATTATATAGTAAACAAGTGATGCTTTTTTTTTTTTTCTGAAATTGGTGAAAGGATAGTTTTCACCAATCGTTATTTTTTAGAAAGAAGTGGTTATGTTTTTTTCTTTTATTCACTTTGCCTCAAATATATTTTCCATTATTACAATTATGCCCTCTTTATGACCCGACCCGACTCGACCAATAGAAAGGGTTAGGGTTTCGCGTTTTTCGCTATAAATACCAAAACAAGGGTTTTGTCGCCACAACAGGGTTCACATTCAGAATCATCTTCTGCCGAAAATTGACATCGTTGAGCGGAAAAGTGTGAGAGCCTTCGTTGTTGAAGATGAGAGCTAAGGTTGAATGCTTCTCCTTCCATTTTTCATGTTTATAGAATCGTTATTTTGTTTTATTTATATTTTACATGTTCTGAGTTTTTTAGGAACTGAGTGTAGTTGTGAATTTGTCTTGGTTCTCAGGAATTAGTATGTTTCACTCGATTGTCTGATATTTGATGTGCTAATTATTGTTCAATGTTGATTTTGCATTGAGTTTTTTTTTTTTTTCCTTTCTGAATTGTTGATGCATTCGTTGTAAATGGGGTAGTATGATTTTTGCAGTTTGATGTTGTATTCGATTTGATGGTATCGATTCACTGTTTGGTTTTGGAATTAAACGATGTTATTTGTTGTTTTTGGTGTTCGGAAGTGCCTTGTTGGGTAGCAAGTGAATTGCATCAAGTATCTCATTTGAAATACATTAGAATAGTTTTGAATGGAATTAGATGTGGTTTAATTCATGGGTATTGTTTGCTGTGTTCCCTTGTGCTACAATTGCTGGATGCTTGTCTAATTGCAAATTACTGGACTTTATTGTAGTGAGACAATAAGAGGCCGGTGTAATTGTGTTGATTTCATGAGGGACAAATTTAGGTTAATCAATGGTTCTTGAATTTCATGTTCTTGAATTCCTTTGAATTTTGTTTTATGCATTTGCAGTCAAATGAAACCGATTGTTTTCCATATTTGGAAGGGAAGGTCAAGAAATTTTTGCGATCACATTCTAAAAATATATATTTTATTTTTCTGTCCCTAAATTCCGAATATTGGAGGGAGACATTAACGGGTGTATAGCAATTTTTTCAGTCCTTTTTTACTCCCCTCTACAAGTTTTTAAGCCAAACCATGTAAAAAAAAAACTCTGCTCTCCTGCCCTTCTTTCACTTCAACAATGCGGAATGCATTGTACACGAAAGTTTAGGGACTTGGCATCGTGGAGAGTAACAAAAGGAAGGAATTTAGCACCTCTAAAGTGTGTAAAATCATCACCTTTATTTTTCTCTAAATTGATTCTCTGACTGCTCTGAACTGGTGCTGCATTTATGTCAAATATAGTTAACCATGTGTGCCTTTTGAGTAGGGCAGTTGTGTGTAAAGTTCTAATATGTACTATAAAAAATGCTTCATATCAATTCTGCATATGATATATCTGTAGATTACATACTACAGCTGTTGCTACAAGTTTTTTTTTTTTTTTGCCTTTTTCTATCAGACTAACATAATGTTAATATGAATCAGTGGAAGAAGAAGCGCATGAGGAGGTTGAAGAGAAAGCGCCGAAAGATGAGACAAAGATCCAAGTAGGTGCTCAAGCAGGAGTCAGATGAGCTTTCCTTCCTATACCAGCTTACGGTTCTTAGATCTTGTGATCTAGTTGGGAGGGGAGGCATATCTCATGACTTAGTTTAGCATTACTGCATAAGACTATAAGACTATTGAGTGGGTTAACCTTTTATGTTGTTTTATGTTATATCTAATTATGTACTCTTTTCGTATACTTTTGCTTTATCCGAATAGTTATATATTGGTAGTATTTTACTTTGAAAATTACCTGAAATTTGATAATTTTATATGCTTTACGTTGCCTTATCATCACTACATATTTGTTCACAATTAGATGTGCTTAGTTAACTGAGATAGTTAAAGACCTACTTAACTTAGATGAGCTTCTTATTCATGTCCCTCAAAACTCTTACAAAAATACACTTATATTTGGTATGTTTTTTTTAAGGGCTTAATTTAGTTCTTCATAATTTACAGAGAAAAAGAATTTCAAATCAGGCTAACGGTTTTAAGGATTTTTTACTTTAAAACGATTGAAATATAGTTTTTGTTTTGTATGTTTTACAGTAAAGTTTGTTCTTCGTCTGTTACTAAATTTTATATTCACTGTTAGAAATTTTAATTTACAATTTGTAGTCAAAAGTTATTGGAGTAAGTTTTACTTATTTATAATTTGCATTAACTATTGTTTTTTATTATTGAAAACACAAGATACTGTGTCCATATTTTTTTGTAATAAAAAAAATTAATACAATTAATTTTTATAAATATTGTATAATTATTATAATGGAAACACAAATAATTTTAAAGATTATGCAGGTTGTGGATAAATATTGTACTTTTGCTTTATATATATATATATATATATATATATATATATATATATATATATATATCGTAATAATTTATTCTAACTGATTTTTTTTCTTAGATTCATGAAATCCTAAATATTATACTCGTAGTAAACACCCATCAAAGTATTACTTTTTCAGACTTGAACAAATAAAAACAATACCTGGACGATACTTAGAAATAATTATTTAATCCTTAAAATAAAGAGAGTAATAATATTTTATTTTTGAGAACAATAGAAAGTTTTCCTCTATAAACCTAATTCTAAATAGAATATTTATGATATTATCCATCCAACTATACTTTTTTTTATTTCAGAATTCGTCATCAATAATAAAAATTAAATTTAATATTAATTATTATTAATATTAAATAATTAATGTCAATAAAACTTAAGTTTATTAATATTAATAATTATTGACAATATTAAATATTAATTTTTGTCAACATATTAACATTATAAAAAAACTAAATTTTGTTAATATTAATAATTTGACTCTAGATTCTCAACGGCAATTTGTCCATCGTCCGAGAAGGAAGACATCGAGGAACCAAATTTTCATCTGGATTTTTTGTTATAACCAATCCTATTCAGAATTTGGCTTTTTGGGAGTCGAATTTCAAATTACTTTTCGACAAAAGATTGCAAAATTGGACTATTAGAATTTGACACCACAATAACCCAATAAATTGGTAAATAATTTGGTAAGAGATCTATTCAATATTTAAAAAAAAGAGTTTAATGGGAAAAACAATATCAAGTTAACATTTTTAATCGATTACAGTGAAGACCATAATTGATTATGTTCTTTCATCATAATCTGTTACGATTAAACAAATTATCTTTTATGTTAAGTAAAAAATTTCGAAAATAAAATCCATAAATAATCAATTATATGTTGATGAGTGGGAGTGAATATGTTGAGTTGAAATGGATGAATCAAATCTGGATTGAAAACTTTGAATAAAGAAAAAAAAAATGGATTGTATTAAATTTGGAAGGAGATTTTGTGTTATTAAATTGATATGAATATGTTCTTTAAGCCAAGACAATTATTTTTATTCATTGTTACATTTTTTTTTATCTTTATTCTTATGTGGATTAATGTCATGCTTTTTTATTTATAAGTTTCCTCGATTTTTTTGTCAATTTTATTTTGATTATACTTTAACAATTGTTTTTAGATAATATGTCAAACAATTATTTTAAAATAGTTTAAAACTATTTTAGATGTTTTTTTTTCATTAATTTTAAAACATTTTTAAAAATTACAAAAAAAAATTAAATATTTATTCATATTATATTTTAATATTTAACCTTCAGGTAGAACATTTTGGTTGTTTATAAAATTATCTAATAATCAAATGCAAATTTTTAACTCATTTTTCTTTTTTTCACCGCTTTTCTTCTAATTCAACGAATCACCCTTTCCATTTTTTTCCCTAGACCCTAATTCACTTCAAACAAAGCATTAAAGATATATTTTACAAGTCTAACCTTTTCAAAATATATTGATATCGAAAATTGCCAGAGGAACATAATGTCAATATGCTTATACTCCGTCAACAAGCTGAAAGTTCCAAACGATTAATGTAGATATTCACGACAATTAGAGTCAAAACCTTACCTCATTCTTTACTCCAGCATACTCAATTAAGATACTAAAAGGGAAATTCAAAAGCACTAGGAAATAATGGAAAGTAATGGATTCTAAGTTAGTAAGCATCTGGGATTTTAGAATTTATAGTTTGCAGTAAATGAAATGTTTCAGTTGGAGAAGGTAAATGCACAAGTTCACAAGGCAATAAGAATGACATGTAACTAAATATGTAACAAGGAAGTAAATCAAAAAATGGATAATGCAAATAATCTAAAGAACTCAAATCTCCAACAATAGAGTTAAATAGCAAGGGTGAGAATGAAATCAGTATTATATTATCTGCTTGAGCCTTTTCATTATTCATCTCTAGATAGACATTATATTCAATCAAAATTCCAAGCATCTGGAACATGTTTTACTTAACTAATCAACAATCTAAGGGAAAACAAGCTGAGAAGACTCCATTCATATCTGAAAGCAGTGATATACCAATTACTTTCTGTTATGCGGTATATGTCACTACTCTGCTGCTATTAATTCCTTTAAGTCGAATTGCATACAGAGTCTTTCAGCAGTACTTTGGCTCAGAACCTCTTTCACACACAACTCTTTCAAAAGGTCTGCTGCTATATCTGTCTCCTCTTGAAAAGCAAGCCCTTCCACAAGAATGGTATAGGTATTCTCATTAGGCACACATCCTTTGCTAACCATCATCAGAAATATCTCTATTGACATTTCTGTTCTCCGAGCTTTGCAAAATCCAAGTATAAGTGCATTGTAGTTATCAATATTAGGCATGTGGTCATTTTCTTCCAAAATCCTGAATATCTTCAGAGCCTCATCTAGCATTCCCTCCCTACACATTCCTCTTATCAAAGATGAATAAGTAAAGGACTCTGGAGTAAATCCATACTTTGTCATTTCATATAACAGCTGAAAGGCTGCATATGTGTTCCCTTTCCTACACAGGCTTGCAATCACGTTTTTGTAAAAATCATGCATAGGGTTGCTTTGTTTATTACCCAAGCTTTGGATTATAAAAAAAGCCTCCTGCACCTTACCTTGCTCACACAGCATTGCAACAGCACAGTATGTTCCATCATTAGGACTACAACGTCTGTGAATCATTTGGTCTAGACACTGAACAACAAGATCCACTTTCCCTTCCTTGCAGAGGCGGGCAATAATCGGATTATAGCTAGTAGCAGTCACCTTGAACCCACTCCTTGTCATTTCATCCAAAACCTGGAAAGCTTGTTCTGTTCTTCCATGAAACGAAAGTGAAGTAATCAAAATGTTGTAAGTAACCACAGAAGGAGACTGGCCCTCTTTATCCATCTCTGCCAGAAGTTCGTTCGCTTCCTCCCACCGCCCTTCATAGCACAAACTCCTCAGCAAAATGTTGTAACTCACAACACTAGGAGTGAACCCTTTTGCAGGCAATTCCCTGAAAAGCCTAATAGCTTCTTCAGTTCTCTCTTCCTTACACAACCCAGTTAACAGCACATTGTAGCTAACCAAATTAGGCTCTCCACCCTTGGCAATTATCTCACCAAGAAGCTTCCTGGCCTCATCCACTCCCCTTTCCTTATAAGCCGCCTCGAGAAGGAAAGAAAATGTGAATGCATTCGGGACCAAACCCTTCTTTGTCAACTTATCCAAAAGCAGCAAGCTCTGGTTCAAGTTGCCATGCATGCAGAGGCCTTTAACAAGAGTGTTATAGGTAACAGTACTAGTTGGAAAACCATGCCCCTCCATCTTCTCAACCAACTGAAGTGCATACCCAACATTGCCTCTCTTGCACAGAAAATTGACCAAGTATGTAAAGGAAGCTGCATCAGGTATAATACCTGAACCAACCATCATATCCATCACCCTAACAGCCTTTCTAGCTTTGTTAAGCTTGCAAAGATCATATAAAAGCTGAGTTGCTTGAGTCACCTCAGGCTTTTGACCCTTACCCACCAAATACTCTAAATGGAGAAATGCATCATAAACCCTCAGCTCTTTACCCCTTGGGTCATTCCTCCCAGCCCTCCAATTGGGGAGGTTAAAAACCGTATCTTTTGGGGTAATGGCAATCTGGGTCGAAGCCGAAACCCTAGAAAAACCCTTGTCGTGGGAAAAAGTATGGAGATTTGGAACCTGTGAGTGCAAGAAACCGCCGCAAGTGGGTCGTTTTGTTTTATGGGACAAATTTGCAGCTGGTGAGACTGTATTCAGTAGTGAAGCCATGATTGAAATAGGAAAATGATGTATAACAACGGTGAATGAATCCTAGTTGGTCAAGTATTGCACATAGAAGGAAAATTTAGAAACATTGTGGATAGGTTCTACTTGTAATAGGTGATGTTGAAATTAGTTTCACTGGGTTCACTGTGATGAATGAAGATTCATCCCTCACGAGAATTAACGAGCGAGAAAATGAGCGTGAAAGAGAAAGAGAGAAAGGTACCAACGAGCGAGGATTTTCATTTAGCAGCGTCAGCTTCGTTCCGACCACATCTACGTTTCATCGTGTCATGTTATCCTAACTCGAAAAGTTGTGTTTTTTATACATAGAAATGGCTGCGTTATTTTCACATTTGACCTACCAAACCTTTTTCATTATCATCAGTACATAGAAAATAAATGGATTATACGAAAATACAAAATAAAATAAAATATTTATTAACAAGAAAAGCGTCAAGAGAAATAAAGGAAAATATTTTAAAATATACTAAATATCACTTTATTTTTATTCATTTAAGTAATTAAAACTATTTTTTTTTCATTATTCATTTTCTACCTTCTATTTATAATTTTTAATAAATTTTAATGAACAAAAAAGTGTAATAAAAATAATATATTTTTATCATTTCTTTTAATCTAATTATAATTGATACATATGATAAGTCATTGTTAGCATAATAAAATAAAAAGAATAAAAACAAAATTATCCTTACAAAAAAATTATATAAAACACACTTATCAATCATATTTAATAAAATATCAATAAAGATTTCATAAAATTATTATAGTATTATTATTATTATTTAAAAAGTGTATTATTATTACACATTCTAAATATGATATGGTATTATCTATTTATCATAAAATATTATACACGTTTATATATAGTATTGTACCAATTTTTTCAACTCTACTCTAAGACAAAGTTGTGGTGGACCAATGTGTTTTTGTAAGAAAGTAAGAGTATGAAAAGATTTTATAGGCAAATCAAACTCTATGCAAAGTTTAAAGTGGTAAGACCTTCAAAATTGTGAAGAAAGTGTGTCAAGATAATCTTACATATGTGTTTACAACGTATGTAATTAGGTTTAAGTTTAATGTTATTAGACTTGATTAAATTTTGAATTGAGAATAAAGGAGACAATCAAGAATAGTAATTAAGAGAAATTCTTTCTAAATTTGGAATCAAGTAAAAAATTTGGAATGAAGGTGAAATAACATTTTTCTTCAACACATTGTCTAAGTTTTTTGTCCCTAAATATCCACTAATCTAAGATGGTATTAGAGTTCTCACCAGAGTTCAAATTGAAATTGTTTCTTTAAAATATGTCAAAGAATTGTGCCCTTCTTACCATACCCTCATCTAATATCTTCATGTCCATCCAAAAATAATTATTAGTCATGGTCATGATTTGTCTAAATAGATCTCACCTTCAAAACTAAACAGGTTTCCTCGTGGGTTTAATACCTACGTGATATGATTTGTTTTTAGAGTTACGTGTTTTAAATTGTACCTTGTTTTAGAAGTTAAGAATGAATATTCCTAGTCACTTAAATGAATATTATTATAATTTTCATCTAAAGCCTACTATAATTGGATTAACCTAGTTATTTTTCTATAACCTTAAATACATATAACATCAATTATAACCTCCTATAGTTGAGACATATTAATAATCAAGAGGGTAGAAGGTGTTGTGATTAGACTTTGTTCTTACTTCTTTTCATCTTGCATTAATTATAATATTTATGAACAAATAATCCTTAGTACACAAGAGGCACGAGTTAACTCTATCTAGTACAATTTCACACGTTCACTAAGTTGTTATGCTTTAATTTGATGTATTATTAACATACTCTAATAATGAATGTTGACTTACTCATGATGAACATTAGAGTTTGTACTTTTGTTGAATTTAAATGTTGTGTAACAATATTGATTATTCATAAGTTAATCAAGTTGAATCAGGTAATCATAGAGTAGTTATTAAACTTCTATTTGTTGTAGTTAAGTATGCTAACCATATGTTGATATGTTGTGTTCTATAGATAATATATAATATTAATCTTTTTGAACTTTAGTGTCTAATAAATATAACTATTATGATGATTCATTATATGATATGTTATTAATTAACTTTGGATTCGTTAATTGAGTTTAATGAGTTCATCATATGATATATTGTATGAGTGTCAATCGAGTCTTATGATCATCAGTTTACTAATTGTTAACAACTTGGAATGACTTAAGTGTGATTTTTACATTCATCCCCAAAATATAGTTAATTACTCAAAATTTAATTAAATTTATTATCATCAAAACTATAAATATAGTATTTCACTAAGTAGTTGTTGAGATTTTTTTCATTAACGTGCATTATTGATTAGTTTTGAAAAAAATTCATATTTCATTTACTTGAGAAAATGATTTCAATTGTCCATCATATATGATTTAATTGAACCTAATATCCAAGATATGATTTATGCATTTCAATCCCATTTTCAAAGTTTTGAGTTGTCTTTTCAAGATTGGACTTATAAAACATGCCTCCATGATTCATTCCCTTCCACAAATATTTTGAAGTGAAATTTTCAACTATAATAATTATTTCTATTGAATTATAGTAAAAAAAATTTTTTAGACGCAACAAATAGAGAAACAAGTTCCACCAAACAAGATTTCATGAATATAAACACTAAACAAGAATCCATAAAATGTTTGGACTGATAATAATTAATAGGTACAATGCAAGTTCTTTTGAAATCACCAAGGATCAACAAAATATTCTTCTCTCTTCACCAATAATGTAGATAATAGATAATCATAACAGATATCTAAGAAGACAATAGAGAACCAAACAGAGACAAGTATCTAAGAAGATAATAGAGAACCAAACACAGAGTAATGAGAACAATAGAACATTTTCTCTGAGCTAACTTCTCTGCACAGAGTTATTCTGAATAATATGTTTTTCTTCTATTCTCGTAGCGACTTCTTCTTTCTGTATCTCACAAAATACCCTCTTTTCTATATTATCTATCTTTTGTTCTCACTACGCCTTAAAGGACTCAGATGAAAAAAAAAAAGAAGATAATCTATAATGGGTCAATAGCCCACAAAGAAAAATATTCTTATTCCTTTTTAACTTAGTTAATATGGACCCAAAAAATTAATAACCCTAACAATTACATTGCTAGTTTAACTTGCCCTCTTTGAAATTGAAATATTCTTCTTCCTTCTTCAAAGCTACTTCCAAATGCTGATCGAGCAATGCCATCGCTAGTCAAATTTTGAAGGAAAGGTCATAGATCTATTTCACATGTTTCATCTAAAGGCAACATTTCTTCCCATTTGCTAACCAGATCATTGCAAATTTCAAAGAATAATGGTAACATAGTCTATGTGGTGTAATAAGAAAATGACCAGGAGTTAGAATAACCTCACTCAAACTAACCACAAAAACATGCAGACTTCAATACATGTTGCTTAGAAACCAAATCTATGTTGTTCAAAACTGTACATGATGCATGTTATATGATTGCATAAAAATAGCATGCAGAATCTAATTGACAGTTAATATTTTCTTGTATGCTTTTCTTATCTATTTGAAAATTATGTTCTAAGTGGCCAAGTGTTACACTAATTTTGCCTAACAATTACATATAGTTATGATCCTAAAGGGACAAGTTACAGGTTTGGTAGGTTGTGTCATTTTATCTTTGAATAACATGTTTGCATAGAAACAATATATCTTAAAAAATGATAAGAAAACTTCAAGCTACTAAAATCCGAATATTGTAAGTGCTTAACTGTCAAAGAAAAAAATATGTTGCATGCCAAATCTATGCAGCGTTTTTAAGGAGAGTTGTTCTAGTACACTTTTGAGTATCATATAGTTTAGAAATCGATATCAAAGGTAGTTTATATACATTCTCCTCTTTTAACCCACTGAGATATCTTTTAAGGACAAAACTGTGATGGACTAAAGCTCCAAAATGAACAATACCTTGGATGTAGTAATTAACCCTAATGATATTATCATAACAGATATCATAATACTTTCGTTCTTAAACAAAAAATTGGCACCCATCAAGAGTAAGGTCTCATTTTACTCCTACCCCTTAATCCTCGACTAGAGGACTATGTTTCGGTACACGCATGAATCTCACATTGCTTAGGAGTTGAGGTTAAGGGTAATACCTTAGACATGGAGAAATACCCCTGAGAATTCCCCTACTAATAGAGAAATAAAAGAAAAACAATCAACACAAAAATATAATATAGAAATTCCAATCGGAGAAAAACCACGACCATTGTCTAATGATAATTAGAGAATAACACTATGTTAAAATTTCTACAACACTAGACAATTCTCTCATGCTCTTTGACCCAAATACACTCACACTCTATTAAACCTCTGAACACTACATTATAAGAGTATAAAAAAAGTCAAATACATATTTAAAGTGTCTTTGACTAGCGTGAGAAACATCATGGAATTTAAGCCCATTATATAGCTACTATCACCCACTTCATTGTTTATTCAATGTGATGTAAGATTTTTCAATATGTATTATCACTACAAAAAAAATTAATTATAGTGATATAAATATTTATCACTAAAAGTTATAAATTCATCACTATTAATATCTTGTAACAATAATTTGATTGTCACTTCTACCCATGTCACTAATATAATTGTAACAATATTTTTAAATATCACTAAAATTAAGCTTTATAGTAACAAAAATATTTAACACTAATAATTATATATAATAGTAATAATAATAAATTGTCACAAATATAATACACAATAGTGATAAATAAAGTTATCACTATAAAAAATTTATAAAAAAATAATTATTTCAATATCGCAAATATTTTAAAAATACAATAATAAATTAATTATTATTTATAATTTATAGAAATAATTATTATTAATTTAATGTCCCAAATAAATAATAGTAATTATTTATCATTATTATAATTTCTAAAATAATTATTATTATTATTTATATTTTTTTATACTAACAATAATAAGAATAATTTTAATATTAATATTTGCTGTTATTATTAATTTTTAAAATTATTATTTAATCATTAAATTATTAAATATAAATAATATACAAGTCTTCTAAGTTTGCTTAGTTATAATGAATAAATAAAAACAAATATGTAAACATAAATTATCCATTACATTATAAATGATAAAAATTAAAACACAATAAATATTTAACAAGATTCTAAATTCAAAGATGATAAACAACTGTATATATTTTTAGTCCGGACTGTTACAATTAAATAACTATTTCTAAAATAAAAAAAATAATAATAACAACTTGAACTATCTTCAACGAATTTGATCCTGTAAAATGAAATAAAAAATAATTAGTATTAATAAAAAATAATTAACAATATTTTAGATATATAAATATGTAAACTAAAAATTTGGAGATATTTTAGTGAAAAAATTAAAATAGTCAAACAACTTACTTCATTTGAGGGAACAGTTGAATCATTAGATATTCCTGTGAATGATAAACCACCTAATAAAATAGACATTTGACGTTTCATCTCTTTTTCAATATTTTGCTTCATAGTAACCTGTTGAACTTCAAGTTGAGATTGCAATTCACGTTGAAGTTGAATATTAGTATTAGTCAATCTTTGTACTTCTATCTCTAAATCATTTGCTCTTTTTTGTTCATCTTCCAATTGACTTTGAACAAATTGTTTCTCCATAACTTTTTTGGTCATTGATGAGGTGCCTATACCTTGTGAGTGATTTGGTTTTGTTCCTAATACAAGTTGAAAGTGTTTAACTAATGGAATAGGTGCTTCGAAATTTCCTCTTTGTATACTTCACCCACATTCTTCAAATTGTCCTATAAAATATTAAGAAAAAATAATTTACATTATAAATATGTCATAATATACTAATAGTGTAAGTTAAATTATTTTTAATTACCATGATTTCTTCTCCATTTGGAATACACCATGTTCCATCGGATCTCATGCGTGTAGCCTTCCATACTTCTACAGCATTTGGCCATTCGTCGTTCTTTAATTTTTCTTTCTAAACAAAGACAAGGTTAAATAAATAAAAAATAATAAAATATCATATAAAATTTGTGCTTATAAATGTAAAAACAACATTACCATTTCAAATGCTTTTTGGACAATTGATTTTGTGCCAGTAATTGATTTGATTTCTTGTTTGCTTCTACTATCTTTATTTTTCAAGCTCCTTTCCTGTATAAATACATAAAACATTTTATATCATGACATAAAATTACATATAAAATCAAATTCAAAATATATAATAAAAGAAATTTTACCTAAAATTTGGAATCATTCCATTTATTCTTTATTAACCAATTCCAATCACTTGGAAGCACATCTACTGGC